ATAAGTTCGCGATAGTGCTGGAATATTTAAGCGAATTTCTGGGATTAGTTTTAGTGTCAGTTAAGCGAGTTTAGTGTCAATGTATAGAAGTAACTTACGCGTAATATAGCGTCAGTTTAGCGACCTTTTCTCTAGTATGTAGCAAAAAATAAATAAAACCTTAGCGCTATTCATCAGTTTAAGCGAGAAGTTGACGCTAAGTAAACAAAGAAGAATCAACATTTCAGCGCCGGGAGAGGCAGTTTAGCGATAGTTTAGCGATAGGTTAAGAAGCAGCAGTTTATCGGCACATTTAGAGATAATTAAATGATTGTTTACTGGTAATACAACATTAGTCTAGTGGTAGTTAAGGGGGAATTAAGTGGCAGTTTAGCTTTATATGAGTAGCTGTTTAGCGATAGTTTTACAGGCAGAGAGAATGAGGAAGCACTTTTAGGCGCATTAATAGTTGAAGTTTAGCGATAAATCAAAGGAGAGGATTAAAACTAGCGGCAGGCGGCGGCAACATGCGGTGAGCGGCGAGACGCGAGCCGGCCCCGCTAGCCTCCGCCGCCCCGACCCGCCGAGGCTACATTTCTCTTCCTAGTACAGTCAGCGTCATCATCTCCCCCCCCACCCCCCCTCACCTTCTATCACAGGCCAACTAAACCTAAATAAAACACAAACACAAACACACACACTGATTTAAGCTCTCGTTTAATCAATGTATGGTAATCCAGTTTCTCTATTTGATCGGCCGAATGAATAATGTCTCCCTTGCCTCGCCTCGCCGCTCGGTCTTGGTAATACTAGGAGAAAAAAAAATTCACGCTTCGTTCACCACCTCCAACCGATGCACAAAAAATGATTTATATTCCGCTGTTATTATTCTATATATTTATTGCATTATTATGTTTGATATATTACTATACATATTATCATCGTATTCATCGCATTTCACCATATATATTATTAAGCCATTTTTATAACACTATAAATAATATGATACTATTTTTTGCAGAACTCACACACTAGACGAGGCTTATATATTAATTCCTATGTTTAGATAATAATTTATATAATAATATAATTCTCTATTCACATTTCTAAAATTTATATAATCGTGTTTACTTTTATCATTTGTTTATTCTTAAAACAAATTGTCGTTTTTTTTACACACCAAAGTTTTATTTTTTAAAGAACTACTTCATATTATTAATGTTCTAACTATATTTAAAATAAGCAATTACAGAAAATTTCCCTTTATTGATATTTGTCTCTGTCTGTCTCATGTAACTGTCTGTATGTTTCTTGCTCTCTGTCTATCGGTCTGTCTGTCTGTATGTTTCTTGCTCTCTGTCTATCGGTCTGTCTGTCTGTATGGTTCTTGCTCTCTGTCTATCGGTCTGTCTGTCTGTCTCATGTATCTGTCTATATGTTTCTTGCTCTCTGTCTATCGGTCTGTCTGTCTGTCTGTCTCATGTATCTGTCTGTATGTTTCTTGCTCTCTATCTATCGGTCTGTCTGTCTGTATGTTGCTCTCTATCTATCGGTCTGTCTGTCTGTCATATACTTCATATTACATCATATAACTCACAACTAGGGCTCAGATAATGTCATATCCACCTCAAAATGACGCCACAAACACCTCGCAATGACGTCACAAACACCTCACAACGACGTCACAAACACCTCACAAAGACGTCACAAACACCTCACAAAGACGTCACAAACACCTCACAAAGACGTCACAAACACCTCATAAAGACGTCACACACCTCACAATGACGTCATAAACGCCTCACAAAGACGTCACAAACACCTCATAAAGACGTCACACACACAATGACGTCATAAACACCTCCAGATAACAAATACATCATCCACGGGTCGTTAACACAACAAAAAACTGTTATAATACTCTCATTAAGGAATTATTAGAAGCATTATGAAGATTAATTCTCTAAATAGTAAAGATGGCGGCGTTATGCCTCCCCGCTAATTACAGTAATTAGTAATTGTCTCGTTAGTAATAATTAATGACGGGAATTATTATTAGTAGTAACAATATCGTCACATAAGTAGTGTTATAATGATGTATGGTTAATATTTTTAACCTATCCGATTTTGTTAACTTTTTTGTGTTTTATTTACAAGTTATTTTTTCTTTGTAATTACATTTATTTATTTTATTCCATTATATTAAAACAATATTTCTAATTTATTTACATTTTATTGTTTAGCGTTCTTTTTATTAATTGATTTTATTATTTGTATATAACTATTACCGAATTAATTATTGTATATATATATATATATATATATATATATATATATATATATATATATATATATATATATATATATATATATATATATATATATATGAGTTATTCCTTTATTTTACGATATTTAATTTAATCTGGGTTTATATTATTAATTTGTTCTATATTAATTTTCTACGTATATAGTTTAATAAAAATTTTACTATTTTTATTATTTTTCTTCTTCATTTCATTATTATCTATTTTTTATTTATTTTATCTACGACAACTTTTACGTTTATAAAGTCTAATTTTTTTATCTTTAATAATTATTGTAGATTAAGAATAATATTCCTATAACCTTAACATTGTTGTAATAATATTTAGGCACAACTGAGGCCAACGACTGGACAAGAGACAAGAGAAATAACTACAACCGTCCGTAGTAATGAGTTATTGTCATGGTTGTGATGTTATGACTTAGGACAACAGGTAAGTTATTAATACATAAAAGTTATAATTGTCAGCATTGTTTTACAACTGTTATATATTTTAATCTGAATTCTTTATAATGAAAAAAAATAATAATTATATATAAAATTTAACAAATGGTCTTAAGTTAATTTTTCAGGATTTTTTTTACGCCCATAAATATTCTTTATCTCAATTTAATTTTCTATCTAATTACTGTAAGTCTAGATTATATATATTTAATTACTCCTATATTTTATTAAAAGTAAATTAGTTATACTATAATTAATTTATCGTTTTAATTTAAATTTATTTGATAGTCTTTATTATTATCATTATCATTATTATTATTATTATTACTACATTCTCATTGCTAACTTTACTATTTACTATGTAGGCTATAAGGCCCACATAGTAGCGTCTGGAAATATTTATATAAACATCAGGTCATATAAACAGATATAATGAAAATATTGTTGATAATTATATATTTACTAAACAATAATAATTTAACTAATTAATTAATTTCTTGTAGTATTTAAACCTTCCCAAAGTATAATTAATTAAACATAATTTAAGTGAAGATATGAATTATAACTATTTTCTCTCTCTTAGTTAACAAACCCATTACATAGTTAGAGTTAGTCCACTCGTGGGTAGTTCGTGTGACCATTGACACAGGCGTCATTATTCAAATATCTATTCACTAACGACAAAACGGAGTTGGCGCACTGTTAGTGAGCAGACCAGGTATAGTTAGCGCTATATGATAGTTATAGTCAAGAAACTATATAGCCAGTTAGCGCGATGAATGATGGTAGTTAGCACTCTGTATAATGAGAGTTTGCGAACGAGGTAGTTAGTGGCATGGCCAATGATAGTCTATGAAGGAGGTAGTTAGAGCTAAATACAAGGAAATAAGTAACCATTAAACAAGGTAATTAGCGCAAATAGTTTATCTTCTAACGAGGCATTTATAGAGGAACAGTTAACCCGTTAAGGGAATTAACTTATCTAAGCTGATAGACAATATCGGGTATGACTTCCGATACAATAATAATAATAATAATAATAATAATAATAATAATAATAATAATAATACATCGGGCGCTTTGTATATCCGATGTCGCAAGGATGTTCTGAGTGACCCGATACGACAAACAATACCCGATATCAACAATTTAAAAATCACCGATACAGTGACTTTAGTTCATCCGATCCAATGTGTCCAGTCATCGCCTGTGACCGATACTATACAGGAGTGGTGGTGGCGTATCGGTGACTGGTGTCCGATAACTGGAGAAAGTGTATCCGATAACCACTTGAAATCGGCTAAAAGCTTTGATGTTAAGTTAAATACTGGTGTAAGCGTTATCGGGAATATCGGGATTTTTAAATACTCTTACTACTATTTCTACTACTACTACTACTATTTCTACTACTACTACTACAATAATCACTACTACGGCCATTACTACTACTACTGTTACTATCACTACTACTAATACCAATACAACCACTACTACAACTATACTATAGCTACTACTACTATTACTATTATCATTCTCCTTCGCCAGGTTTTGCGACGCCATGACGGCTTAACACCGCATCGTAGGCGTAACACCGTAACACAGACATAACACCCGTAACAGCGCTACATTATGACCGTAACAACATAAGTAACGTAACAATATAGTTCTATAACGACTTTCTCTTGTAATATAATCTAAATTCACATCAAAAGCATAATATAACAAAGGATTATATACCGTAACATATAAGCCTTACACACTGTAACAAACGTACTGTAACAAAGAAGACTATATACCGTAATACACAAGTCTAATATAGCCTATACCGTAACAATGATGTTTTTTATATACCGTAACGAACGACCACTTAACACATAGTGTACACCTGTAGTAACGTCATAGTGACGTAGAAGTATATAGTGACCACGTAGCACCATACGTACCAGTGACACCAGTGACGTCTTTACGTAACACCATAGTGACCACGTAACACCATAGTGACCACGTAGCACCATAGTGACCCCGTAGCACCATAGTGACCACGTAGCACCATAGTGACCCCGTAGCACCATAGTGACCACGTAGCACCATAGTGACCACGTAGCACCATAGTGACCACGTAACACCATAGTGACCACGTAGCACCATAGTGACCACGTAACACCATAGTGACCACGTAGCACCATAGTGACCACGTAGCACCATAAACATAATAATGATGACACTTTCCTCCTACAGGTACTACAGGCGTGTGTTACTTACCTGGACTGTGGGCGTCGGGCGGTGGGGCGGCGTGAGGGTCGTGTCTTAAGCCCAACATGGAGGGCATGCCGCCGCCGCCCATACTAACAGGCGTGACATGGCCACCCAGCCCGCCCATGCCCATGCCTGGTAGAAGGGCATGATTCATCCAGACATGGCGGGAGTCCTGGAAGAGGGCGTGCTGCTGGTGGGCAGCAAGGGCGTGGCGTGAGTAGAGGAGGTGCGGCGCCGCGCCCAGAGACCCGCCCGCGCCCAGGGAAGAAGACGAGGGCGGCGCGGGCGGGGACTCGGACTGAGAGCTAAGGCCCAGCAACTCCTGGATGGCGAAGGGGGAGCGCTGAGGCAGTGTTGGTGCCGTCAGAGCCGTCATGTGGGCGTGGGCGTGCAGCGAAGGCGCCGTCACGTGCACGGTGCCGCGGTCCATCATGGCGTAGGCGGGCGGGCGTGGGGCGTCACCAGCTGATCATGCCGCGGACGCCGCCCACCTCCACGATGACGCCCGTCGCCGCTCTGTGCCGCCCGGGAAAGAAACACACAAGGTCACTATATGGGTACAATATCAGCCCACCCCGCCCATCTCCCCCTACACCCACCCCACACATCTACTCCCACGCCCATCCCGCCAATCTACACGTATACCCACGCTCATCACGCTGGCTTCACTAACACGCTTTGCCCACCCAAACCCGCTACACTACACCACCACCCACACCCACTACACTACACCACCACCCACACTCGCTACACTACACCTCTATCACCCCCTTTACACCACCACCCACACTCACACTACACCGCCGCTCACACCGCACTACACTTCCCACACTACACTCCCCCTTACACTACACCACCGCCCACACTCTCTACACTACACTCCCACACCTACACCACCGCACCACACTCTACACTACTACTACACTCTTACACTACACCGCCCCGCTACTACACCACCGCCCACACTCTCTACACGCCCACTACACCACCGCCCACACTCTCTACACTACAAGCCCGCTACACCACCGCCCACTCTCTACACTACACACCGCCCTCACACCACACACCGCTACACTACACCACCGCCCACACTCTCTCTACACCACGCCCGCTACACTACACCACCCACACCCACTTCTACACGCTCACACCACTACACCACCACCGCCCACACTCTCTACACTACACGCCGCTACACACCCGCTACACTACACCGCCGCCCACACCCTACACGCCGCTCACACCCGCCACACCACCACCGCCCACACTCTACACTACACGCCCGCTACACTACCGCCCACACTCTCTACACTACGCCGCACACTACACCACCGCTCACACCCGCTACACTACACCACCGCCCACACTCTCTACACTACACGCCCGCTACACTACACCACCGCTCACACCCGCTACACTACACGCCCGCTACACTACACCACCGCCCACACTCTCTACACTACACGCCCGCTACACTACACCGCCGCTCACACCCGCTACACTACACCACCGCCCACGCTCTCTACAGCAACACTCAAAAGCACTTCGCTATATATCCCTAAGACTCAACATAAACTAACAAATGTCTTCCCACACAACCTCAACTTACAGTGTAAATCAATAAAGTAAATAAAGCCTTACTGCCCCTCACTACCTGTCTTCCTCAACTGTGTAAAAAATGTAAATTACAACAGGTATTTACATGTTTCCTCCACCAGGTGAAAGTTTACGGCAGATCCAATCAAATTTGTTTCCATGGTTAGTGAGTGAGTGAATTCCTGCAGGATATAAAAGTCCTTCAGGAGGCGCAGCACATCCTTAGGCCATCCTGAGCTCTAAGTCGCCGGGAAAACACATCAATTGCCCTAAAGTGTGAGCCGCAATACACCATTAAGTCGACTTACCTCAAAGATTCTTGTGTACACTGGAGGCGCCCTGAGCCAGACGTGTCGAAGGATGGAATACACTTTAATTGGCCGAGTCTTAAGTCCTTTTCGAGGGAAAATCACTAATTAACTGGTGTAAGTATCGCGGGGGTCGAGTCCATAGCGAGAGAAGGTAACAATTGTAGCAGAGATCACAGTGGGTGTGCGAGCCGCCTATGCTAAACAGCATGTAGTTCACATATAAAATGGTAGTTTGCGACACCTTCTGATGTGTCCCTCGCTCCTGCGCACTGAGACCCCTCACTGCCAGATGTCGCTACTCTCATCATTATGTTCTTAATTGAACCGTGACTCTCGTAGACTAAGAGTTATATATGACGCTTCATATAAGATCTTAGAACACTGAATATATTTTATATAAATATAGATAAATTTATTAATCAGTAGATATTGTAATTAGTTAATTAAAGGAGATGTGTCAACACCGGGAGGGCGAACAAGAGTACCACTTGTGAATGGTCGATAAGCCCGCCCAGTAGCCACACCCCCCTCACCGACCAGCCAATGAGCGCACCAACTCAGCCCCCTCTACTGACTAGCAGCCAATCATAGAGCAGCTCCACTGATTGACAAGGATGGAGGAGGATGGAAACTCCATATTACGCCGACCTCTTGTAGTGTTGACGTGCTGCCCACACCACCAACACCCACTTACTACCTCCTATACCATATGTCAACATTTTTCATGTAAAATTTGCATTCCTTTGATCTGAATGTAAATACGTTCGCTCTGCCTCGCCTGTCGATAAAAATAAATACACTTGTTAGGTTGAGGCGGCGGACACCTTCACCTGGGCGACTCAGCACCAGGAAATAAACTGATTCTCCCCCACACACTAACAGTTCCCGCCATCATAACTCTCTCACTCGCTCCATCCATTGGCAAATAAAACGACATTAAAGATCTCGGCTCCTCCAACCTGCCGTTACTAGTTAGCGATATTTACACCCCCCCCCCAAAAAAAAAACCTACCTGAAGAAGGAGTCATAATTACAGGTATTGGCTAACAGGTGTTGGCTATCCTCCCCCTTTTGCCTTCTTCTTCCTCCTCTCCTTCTTCTTCTTCCTCTTCTTACTCATTCTCTTATTCCTTCTCCTCCTCCTCCTACCCTTCCTCCTATTCCTTCTCTTCGTCTTCCGATACCTTCTCCTCCTCCTTACACCGACAAAAAGAAGAAATGAGCAGAAAATAAGAAAGAAGAAGAAGAAGAAGAAGAAGAAAAAGAAGAAGAAGAAGGCAGACCAAACATCCCATCCAACAGATTACAAAAAAATAACAGATGGTAATGCGGGTTGGTTACTGCTTCCATCTCGTATAGTATCTCGCTGTAAATCTCGCTACAGTTCGCCTCTGTCTGTAACCTCATGAATTAGAGTTGATGGCATTATTTGTCGTCTTGTGTAATATATTAGTTGATGGGTGACTGAGTTAAGCCCTGTAGGGAGTGAGAGAGAATTTGGTAGTCATTTTGAGGGTGGTGATAGCTGGAGTGTGTTCGTTTTATGTTGCCGATATCGTTGTTTTTTTGTTAGCGACATCGGTGTTCTTGTTTACGATATCGCGGTTTTTGTTAACGATATCATTGTTCTTGTTTACGATATCACTGTTCTTGTTTACGATATCACTGTTCTTTTTTACGATATTGCTGTTTTTGTTAACGATGTCGGTGTTCTTGTTGGTTTTCTTGTTCATGATATCGCTGTTTTTGTTAACGATATCGATGTTTTTGTTATTGATATCAGTGTTCTTGTTAATGATATTGCTGTTTTGTTAACGATATCGGTGTTTTTGTTAACGATATCGCTCCTTTTGTTAACGATATCGGTGTTCTTGTTGGTTGTTCTTGTTAATGATATTGCTGTTTTGTTAACGATATCGGTGTTTTTGTTACCGATATCGGTGTTTTTGCGACAATATCGGCATTCTTGTTATAACATAAGTGTTCTTGTTATGATAATCACTAATAATTCACACATGATACTGACAAAATAAAATATATATTAATAAATGAAAATAATCGTTGATAACCTGGAATTAACCTTAATAATATACAAGAAAAATTGATAATCTTTAATAATTGTGAATGATATTATTATTGATGCTGCCAATTATTACTCGGATCACCTGAAGATTAGCCCACACCAGCATATTTCACTTGATGATTAAAACCTCTAACGCTACCTGGGGGTTAGGTTAGGTTATGTTACGGTTAGGTTAGGTCTGGTTACATTAAGTTAGGTTACGTTAGATTAAGTTAGATTAGGTTGGATTAGATTGCGTTAGCTTAATTTGGGTTAAATAAGGTTAGGTTAGGTTAAATAAGGTTCGGTTAGGTTAGGTTAAATAAGGTTCGGTTAGGTTAGGTTAAATTAGGTTGTATTAGATTAGGTTAGGTTAAGTTAAATTAGGTTTGGGAGGCTGGAGTGTTTCTCTTGCAGGATCATGCCAAAAGAACTAACACTAACTAGACTTGACTAACCTAACCTAACCTAACCTAACCTAACCTAACCCAACCTAACCTAACCATGTCGAGAAGCAATACTAAGGTCTTATGTGTTAGCAAGAGTCAGGTGCTTCCATCAGTCACCTGCCTCAGTCCTCTCACTCTATCTGGTGATGATGGTGTCTCGATCAGGTGGGTCACAGATGGGTCACAGGTGGGTCGCAGGTGGGTCACAGGTGGGTCGCAGGTGGGTCACAGGTATAGCCTTTGTCCCACAGAAGAGATGTGGATGTTGTAATGTATTAATGAGCTCCATTAACTAAGGTCTTGTTGATGTGTGTTGTGTTGTGTTGTGTGTGTTGTGTGTGTTGTGATGTGTTGTGTGTGTTGTGTTGTGTGTGTGGTGTTGTGTGTGTTGTGTTGTGTGTGTTGTGTGTGTTGTGTTGTGTGTGTTGTGTTGTGGTTGTGTTGTGTTGTATTTGTGTGTTTGTGTTGTGTGTGTGTGTGTTGTGTTGTTGTGTGTTGTGTGGTGTTGTGTTGTGTGTGTTTATGTTGTGTGTGTTGTGTTCTGTGTGTTATGTTGTGTTCTGTGTGTGTTGTGTTGATGTGTGTTGTGTGTTGTCATCTTGTATTTGTGTTGTATTGTGTTGTGTGTTTGTGTGTGAAATTTTATGTGTGTATTTGTGTGTGTTGTATTTGTGTTGTGTATGAAACTGTGTTATCTTGTGTTAATTTGTGTTGTGTGTGTGTTGTGTTGTTGTGTTGTGTTGTGTTTATGGTATTTGTGTGTGTTGTATTTATGTGTTTATGTGTGTATTTATATTGCCTTGTGTGTATTTAATGTGTGTGTGTTGTGTTGTGTGTGTGTTGTGTTGTGTGTGTTTATGTTTATTGTATGTGTTTGTATGTGTGTGTGTGTTGTGTGCACATGTGTGTTTGTGTTGTCTTGTGTTGTATTTGTGTGTGTTGTGTGTATATTTGTGTTGTGTTGTGTTGTGTGTTGTGTTGTATTTGTGTGTGTTGTATTTGTGTGTATTTGTGTGTGTGTTGTGTTGTGTTGTGTTGTGTTGTGTGTGTTTGTATTTGTGTGTGTGTGTTGTGTGTGTGTGTTGTGTTTGTGTGTGGTATGTTTTGTGTGTGTTATATTTGTGTGTGTATTTGTGTTGTGTATGTGTTGTGTTTATTTGTGTATGTTTGTGTTATTTGTGTGTGTTGTGTTTATGTTGTATTTGTGTATTTGTGTGTGTTGTGTTGTGTTGTGTGTGTGTGTGTGTTGTGTTGTGTGTGTTGTCTTGTGTGTGTGTTGTGTTTGTGTGTGTTGTGTTTGTGTTGTGTTGTGTGTGTGTTGTGTTTACATGTGTGTGTTGTGTGTTGTGTTGTGTTGTGTTGTGTGTGTTGTGTGTGTTGTGTTGTGTTCTGTGTTGTGTTCTGTGTTGTGTTGTGTGTGTTGTGTTCTGTGTGTTGTGTTCTCTGTGTTGTGTTGTGTGTGTTGTGTTCTCTGTGTTGTGTTGTGTGTGTTGTGTTGTGTGTGTTGTGTTGTGTGTGTTGTGTTCTCTGTGTTGTGTTGTGTGTGTTGTGTTGTGTGTGTTCTGTTTCGTGTTATGTGTGTTATGTGTTTCGTATGTTGTGTTCTGTGTATTGCTCTCTATGTGCTGTGAGTCTGAGTACAGTATAACACAGGTGCTCCCGTGATTCAAGATAAGATAACATTATACAATAGTCTTTACTACTTCCTATATAACTGCTATAAGGAGAGTCATTAATACGTATATATTAACGTGATCTTCTTATATATTATATGTCATTCACTATCTAACCTAACCTAACCTAACCTAACCTAACCTAACCTAACGATACATTATGCTTGTTAACAACCTTTTACATAAGTTAATATTAAGTTCCTTTCTTAATAAATCTCTAAGGTTATCAGACACTGTTTTCTACTTAATCTCTTCCTGTTTTTATTTCCCTTACATATTTACCATTAAACCATACATTAACTTCACAAATAAACAAAGAATTATATATGATGTATAATTTCTACTATAACTGTGGTTTTAGGAATTATTGTCAATATGGAAAATAATTATTACTTACGTTTTAACAGTATTAATTTCTAGGTACATATTCATCATTTTTTTCAGTATTTACTAATTACTTTTATGTGTCCTAACTGTCTGTAATAAAAGGAATATGTCCTTATTGAATATTTAATTATACTTTATCAATAACTTGTATGTCTCTATCACTACTGGCAACTCTCACTAGATATTCTGAGTGTAGATAATGAGTATCTTTATGTAACATCTATCTAACTTTAATCCAACTAGTATCTTTTTATCCTGATACTAGTCATTTTTTTTAAGTAATTGAATATTTCATTATTTAACTTTTCTATTAACACATCTATAGGTTTAATGTCTTTTTCTCCAAACCTTTTTTTCAGAATCTAAATTATACACGAGAATAAAAAAAAAAAGAATCTACTTTAAGCTTCATTTTTATATTTGGTTTAGCTCTCCAAAATCCAACATGACCTAAATTATTATTATTATTTTTTAATTCATTTCTGGGATATAAGATTTATCTCTTGTTGGTTTTAATTTACTGAGTTTATGATATATCTTAATGATAATAATAATAACAATAACAAATAAATAATAAATAAATAAATAAATAAAATACTCAATAAACTCCACAATTTCCATTTCCCTTCAT